GCCCCCAGGTTAGTATATGTCTTTCTTGTACAAGAAGTCTCACTTTTGAGTTCAGCTGAAAAATAATTTGTTCTAGCTGCTTTTGAAAGGGACAGCTGTAATGCCTTTTCCTAGAAAAATACCAGATTGCAAAGAGGAAATAATGATTAATGCCTCTTCAGTGAATAACTTTGACTCACCTAATAGCTACACTATGAAACTTGGGGATTTTAAAAATAACTTCACAAGTCACTGTTGTGATTGAGTGATTCCAACTTTGAGTGAACAGTCTTGATGAAACCCACTGTCATCATGTGCCTTGGAAAGAGTTTTTTGAAGCATTTTCTTGGACATCTCTCCTAGTGCTGCCTTCTCTTGTGCCATTTGTTAGTCCCTTGAAGGAGAGTGCTCAGCACACAGCCCTTGCTTGTCTGCTGGTTACTTTTGGAAGTCTGTGTGCAAGAAAGAGTTGTTGGTACATAGTTGCTAATCTAGGTTGTGTCCCTGTGGTGTCTGAATTTAAATTTGTAGGCCTGCAACCTGCAAAACCTAAATAATTGATTGGGTCATAATTTGGGTCCAGACTAGCGAGTTATACATAGGTTGTATATGTATTGCCACTTTCTCTGTGTGTTCCTACAAGATTCCTTGCATTAATGAAATAAATGGGCAGACACTTCTGTCTTTCCATTTCTTTTAGCAACCTTTGGAAACATCAAAAATTACTGTCAATCGACCTTGATAAAGTGGCACTGCCCAGTTTTCGACAAAACCGACCCCAAGTGAGACCACTGTCCCCTGGAGAAAGTGGAGCATGGGACATTCCTGGAGGTAAATATTGAAAAGTTTGAAAGTTGCTGTTTTGGCTATGCTTTTTGCATAAGCTTTGAAAAAAAAACCCAAAACACAGTACAGCCATAGGAGAGGCTACTGTTTATTTTCAGTTGTAAAAAACATGCATATAATAGTATGGCAGTGTTATTAAAGGCTGTCTGATGAAGTTTTTTTTAATATATGAAAGTTTGTTCAGTAGAAAGTGTGCATGATATACTGGAAGGAAGATCTTGGTGGGTGCATTTTGATAGTTGAGGTTTGTTTGGATGCTGTTCAGTCTGATGGGTCAGCAGCAGCTCCTGTCCTTGGGAGCTGTGACCACATTCCCACTTCTAATTAAAATTTCCTTCTATGTGTGCACAAAAGCAGAGTCCAGAAGAGTTTGTCAGAGGTGCCTTGGACAAGCTGTTACACTAACAAATGATGTCTAGCACTCAGAACAGCTTTCAGGTGGGCAGCTCTCCTTCACAAGACTGGCATTGCAGGCTGAGCTGAAGCAGTTGGAAAGCCTCGTATGTGCTCTTTCCCAGACTGAGCTGCTAGACCAGAGACACCTGTCAAAATGAAGGGCTTGTTTCTCTAGCTCATCCTCACTGTATGCACAGTCTCTGGAGCAAGCAAGCATGAAATCACTTTCCTCGTTCCATCAGGATTTGAATTACAGCAATTACTTAGTAGTAAGATTATGGTCAAGTGTTTGCATCTCTCTTCTAATGCAAAACAGAAGACTGTTGTTACAGAGGAAATCTGGGCTATGCTTTCATGTGCCCAAATAGGTCAAGGTGGAAATGTTGGTGCTTTTCTGTAATGTTAGCATCCCATCTGATTTTCACTAATCGGTCTGCAGCTGTTAATCTTCCTGTCTGAAATGTAATCTGATTAATGGCTGCCTGGGCTTTGAACAAGAGTTAGCTGCAGATCCTTTTGGTAGATGGCATTAGCACCACAAAGCCATTGTGGCTCACGTGGTAACTGTGCCTTCCAAACCTCTTTGCCTTTCTAGGTATAATGCCAGGCCGGTACAACCAGGATGTGGGACAGACCATTCCTGTCTTTGCCTTTCTCGGTGCCATGGTGGTCCTGGCGTTCTTTGTGGTGCAGATCAACAAAGCAAAGAGCAGGCCAAAGAGACGGAAACCGCGCGTGAAACGGCCGCAGCTGATGCAGCAGGTTCATCCACCAAAGACACCCTCTGTGTGAAAGCTCTGCCTTGCCAAAGATGACCTCCTGTGACTGCTTGCTTTCCAGGGTGATGGATCGCTCCCCATGGAGGTGCAGTGAATGTGCACCTGACATCATCTCATAGTCTTTGGTTTGTGGAGAGAAAAAAAGAACCTCAGCTGATCATCTGTACATAAAACTGCAGCTTTAAGCAGCTGAAGCCACCAAAGACTTGAATACTGTTTAAATGGCTGCTTAGTCACTACATATCCCAACAGGGGGAAAATGGACCTTTTTTTTAAGCTGACCAAACTAAAATTTATTTCTTTAGAGGCTATTTTCTATATTTATTGTTGGGGAGGGCGGGGGAAAAGTCACTTTAAGGACCTCTGCTAAGGAAAATCAAGTGCATTTTTTTGGATGGAATGCAATTTTCTAGAATGGTTCTATGCTGAAGAGTATAATATGCACCATTAAAGGAGGAAGGGACTGAGAGAGACCAGTACAAATCAGTGAGGCATACTCCTGCAGTTTATTTTTATAAAGCCAACTACCATGATGTTTTGTAATTTTTGGTCACGATTTCACCATTGTTGGTGAAGCAGATTTTTCAATAAATATGTTATCTATATGAAGCAAAGACAGTGTGCTAAGTGGCTCTTCTTTCCACTTGCAGTCAAAGAGAGCAAATTGCTGGGTAGAGAAGATTTTCATGTCACCTGTCTTCCCACCGTATCTTTGTCCTTACCGGTGGTATCCCAAGTTGCAGACTTCTTTGGAGCACTAACTGGGCAGTCATGCAAACAGTGCTTGCTCTGAGTGAAACAGAGTTCTGGAAACCTTCAAAACTCAGCAACACATAAGGAGAGAGCTCTCAAAGAGCTGTACAGGAAACTGTCATGGGAATGGCACCTAAAAGCACTATGTGGTATCACAGAGATGAAAACCCAGTCTCCTTTAGTTTCTCCTGCTTGAAAGCCTGTGAATTGTCACTGGCTTAAATTAGGATGCAGGCACAAGTTTCCCCTGTCCGTGCGGTGCCAGTTAATGTTGCCATAATTGAAATAGCTTCTCTCTTTTCTAGTGAAACTGAGCTTTTCCCTGCCAACTGCTTTCATCATTGCTCCAGATGAGCACCTTTTCCTAGGAGGCAGGAGCTGGTGGCTGCCTGTATTTGTGAATGGAATGGCAGCCTGGGCAGGTAAGCAGTGCGCACTGGTGAACGGTCCTGGGGGAGTTCATGGGCAGCTCTGGGCATGGCTGGAGAAGGAGGCGGCAGGGACAGCCCTGCTGGGCAGTCTGCACCCATCCTCTTAGGGCTTACCAGCAGGGATGGGGGTGGGCTGTGGGAAGTGCACTGCAGGAGAGAACTTCACTCCATGTAGTCATGGAGCCATGGATAGAGTTTGTGAGTGTTCTGCAAAAAAGACTGGACAAACCAATTTTCACTAACTTGAAGAATGGTTGCCTTTTTCCAACATTTCTCTTCTGGAGGATGCACTGGAAGAGGCAACATTCTGTTGTCGCAGCAGAGAAGGCACTGAGCTTTTGTTTTGGAGACGCTAGTGGAAGATTCTTAGGGCTGAGAAGATGGTCCCAAGGCTGGGCTGCTTGTGCCATCCCAATGGGGCTGGAGCCTCTTGCTCCTCCCTCTCTGAACACATCTATAATGACAGGGAGGGAGTTTTCAGCATCTTAGCTGTGACATTAGGGAGAGGACCATCATAGGACCAGTCAGCAGCAGCTGTGCAACTTGTCCAGGATGTAAAAAATCTATCAGTAAAGGTGTGAAATCTCAAGCGCCAGACCTCAGAAGGGATTGCAGGTAGCAAAACATAATTGTGATCAGTGTTTTTATTTGTATGAAACAAGGACTGTCCATTTGCATTTTTGTACCTTCTACAGTCTTCAAAGGTAATAATGTGGAAAATATTAACAGCCCTTCTTCCACCTGCCAAAGGGACACAGCAGCAGGTAAAGCTGCCAACCCACAGGGACCCTCGGGTTATGGCTTGTAGCCCAGGGGCTGGAGCCCCAGATAAATGGGAGAAAGAGAGGAAATGATAAGGGACAGAGCTCGGAGCCACTGAGAAGAGAAGCTGTCTGCTGTGTTGGTGTGTGAGATGAGATGCACCTGTTTGGTTTGAGGTTCTTCCATCAGAGGAAACTGGAAAGCTTTGGTGGCACTTCTCAGGTTGGTGCTAATGAGGAGACTTGCTCCTCATCACAGCACTAATGAGAGATTAAGGCTACACTGCAGCCTTGAAACCAGAATCAAGTGTATCAAAGCACCAGTCCGAACTAAGAGCCTTTCCCAGTGGCTGGTATTTTACAGCCCAGTGGCTAATTTCTAAGTCGTAGAGGCCAATTATTTCCGAAGCCTTTGGTGTGCAGCTAATGAAGGCTTGGAAGGACCCTTCTAAGTGTTTATAAGCTATGTAGGCGGCAGAGATGTAATGGAGGTGGCAGGCACAATTAGCCATCCATAATTCCTCCTAGCAGCTGATTAAAGTCTCTTTATCCGTCTTACCAAGATCAGAAGGGCACATATTTGGGAAATCAAAAATGCATTAGGGGCTGTCAGCCAACGCCAGCGCCTGTGTGCTGAGCCCTGGGCCAGTGGCCTGTGCCAGGAGTGGCACAGAGCTGCTGTGTGCCCCTATGTTGGGAATGGACCCCTCATTCCTGTGGGGTGCAGCCTCCTCTGTGTAGATCCTCCGCAGCATCAGTTGCCCAATCCCGTTATCCGGGCATCCCCTTTGCCTGCGTGGAGCAAGGAGTGGGATGGGATGGCTCCTCTCCAAAGTCTCCCAGTGCAGGAAAGCACCAATGGGCTTTTAGCTGCTGCTGGGACTCGCAGGGGTGCTGGCCTCATCGATGCTGCACCCAGCGAGTTAGGGTGTGTGAGCTGCGGCTGCCTTCCTCCACCCTTCCCGGGGCACTCCATAACGCCCTTTGGTGGCAATTTCATGCCTGGGTGAACAGAGCAGGATGAGGGAGGCCTCAGTCTGCCCAGCCCTGCGGTGATGATAATTTCGGGCAAAGTGAGAGCAGAGCCCCCAGCCAGCTGCCCCGGTCCCGCGCTGGGAGCCGAAGGGGCGGCTGTGCTGCGCAGGAGCGCCCCGCGGGCCGGGGGTGCCGCGGGCGCTGTGAGCAGGACGGGGCTGGGCTGAGCTCCCGCCGGCGCTTCCCACGGCCGCCTCCCGCCCAGCGCCCCCTCCCCACGGCCGGGGGCGGGGGGTCCGCAGCCCCGCGCCGCCCCCGGGCCCCGCGGAGGGGCCACAGCCCCGCGGGAGCGCCGCGATGGAGCGGGCGGCGGCCGAGGGCCGGCCCCTGCTGCCGGCGCCGGGCGGCTCCGCCGGGCTCTCCTCGCCCGGGCTCTCCTCCGCCGGCGCCGTCTTCATCCTGCTCAAGTCTGCACTGGGCGCGGGGCTGCTGAGCTTCCCCTGGGCCTTCGGCAGGGCCGGCGGGGCCGTCCCCGCCCTCCTGGTGGAGCTGGTAAGGGCGGACTCGGGGGCGCCGGGCTGCGGCAGCCGAGGGGCGCCGGTCCGGAGAGGGAGCGGAGGGAGGGGATGCACCTGCTCTGGTGCTCGGGGAGCTGGCGGGCACCCCCCTCCCGACCCCCGCAACACCCTGAAGTTGTTGTTGCGGTGCCACCTTAAGGGTGCCCTTTGCAGCTGAAGCCACGCTTGTAGCTGGCTTATAACAGAGTAAATGGGTGTCCGCTCCCGTACACGCACCAAAACCCCAAACCTAAACCCGAAGTACCACGTCAGGGTGTGTCTCCATCCATTTGCTGACCTTTGCTACCCAGAGCCACAAGGTGATCTGGCTGGTAACCTGGTCCCTGGCCGTGGGCCTGCTGTGTCCTGCTCTGGTCTGGGGGTGGAGGAGGGTCGGCGTGGTGCTTCCCGCTGGCTCTGTGCCCGCAGGGCTCGCTGGTGTTCCTGGTGAGCGGGCTGGCCGTGCTGGGCTATGCCGCGGCCCGCAGCGCCCAGCCCACCTACCAGGGCGTGGTCCGGGCCGTGTGCGGGGCGGCCGTGGGGAAGCTCTGTGAGGTCTGCTTCCTCCTCAACCTCTTCATGATCTCCGTGGCCCTCCTCAGGGTGGTGGGCGACCAGCTGGAGAAACGTGAGTTATTTCCCCTCACTGTGTTTGGGACTTGGTTGGGGTCGGCAGCTCTCAGGAGTGAGGGGAAGGTGCTCCCACATGGGTTGGGGTCACCCCTCAGGGTTTTCCTGGAAATTCTAAAGACACGGGGCTCCCTGGTTCTGCCATGGTGTGATGCTCCCGACCTCCCTGGACCATCTTTCAGGGTGCAGCTGACCCCCCACTGCCTCCCCACAGTGTGTGACTCCCTGTACCCCAACGGGACACTGAGTGGGGACCCTCAGCTGCCCCCCTGGTACGTGGACCAGCGCTTCACCCTCTCAGCTCTCTGTGTCCTCGTCATCTTCCCACTCTCTGTCCCCAGGGAGATCGGCTTCCAGAAGTACTCCAGGTACCACCTCGGCTATCCTTGTGGTGGCCCACCCCTAGGTACCCGGTACCCCAGGTTGCCACCTCCCAGGAACCTGTGGGGCTGTGGGAACCCCTCTCCTCTGTTCCTCCTGGCTGTGTTCTGATGCTCTCCCATGCCCTGACAGCATCCTGGGCACGGTGGCTGCCTGCTACCTCACTCTGGTTGTCATCCTGAAATACTACCTGCAGGCAGAGAACCTGCGTTTGACTGAGTCGCCCCAGCCCTCCAGGTAGGAGGGTCAGCCCCTTGTCCCTCCTGCCCTGACCTCCGTGGCCTGAGCAGTGACATGGGGGCAGGGCTGGAGGCAGGGCAGGGGTGGTGCTGGGCCCTGTGTGTGGTGGGGGTGAGCTGGGGACAACTCACAGTGGTTGGTAACTCCCAGCCCCAGCTTTCACCCCTTTCTCCCAGAATCACTGGGCGAGAGATTCCCATAGTGCCATCCAGGCTGCGCAGTTTACAGCATGTTTTTTTTCTCCATGAGAGCTCATGCCTTTTGTTCTCTGCTTCCTCTCCACATGCCACAGGTCCTCCTCCTGGACCTCCATCTTCAGTGTCATTCCCACCATCTGCTTTGGCTTCCAGGTAGGTCACCCTGGCTCCTCTGGCTGCAGCTGTCAGGGCAGTGCTGGCAGCCCCCAGTGGTGTCCCAGACCATAGGGATGCCATCCCTGGAAGGGCAGGTTGCTGGAAAAGGGACCTGTGGCTGTCACCAGAGGGTGGCTGTGAGGCAGGACACAAGTGCCTGGGAATGGGGCAGAACGGGACAGGACACCCATAGGTGGGAGAGAGGATGCTGGGGGTGGGAGCTGTGCCTGCATGGGGCCCCAGCACCATCCCCCCTTGCCTTGCAGTGCCACGAGGCATGTGTGGCCATCTACAGCAGCATGCGCAACCAGAGCTTCTCCCACTGGGTCACCGTCTCTGTGCTCTCCATGCTCATTTGCCTGCTCATCTACTCCCTCACTGGTAACCCCAGCACCAAACCCTTCACTCCTCCTTGCCCTGGGGGTCCCCTCTCCCCTTGGCTCATCCATCCTCCTCAGAATTCCTCTGTCCTGCTCGCTGCTTGGCCGCCCACCCCCACGTCCCTGTCAGCAGGGCTCTATGGCTACCTGACCTTCGGCGAGGCCGTGGCGCCCGATGTCCTGATGTCCTACCCAGGGAATGACCCGCTTGTCATCGTCGCCCGCCTGCTCTTTGGCGTCTCCATTGTCACCATTTACCCCATTGTGGTGCTGCTGGGCAGGTGAGGGGAATGGTGACAAGCTGGGTGTCCCCTGAGCCGATGCAGCTCCCCTGGGTGCCGTCAGCCCCCGCAATCCTCCCTCCCAGATCCGTGGTGAAGGACTTGTGGGCAGCCCCGAAGCGCGGGGCCGTGGCAGTGTCTGAGGCACACGAGCGGCGCAGCCGGGTGGCACTGACGGTCACCTGGATGGCCGCCACGCTGGGCATCGCCCTGTTCGTGCCCGACATCGGCAAAGTCATCGAGCTCATCGGGGGCATCAGCGCCTTCTTCATCTTCATCTTCCCAGGCAAGAGTAGGCACGGGGAGGGAGGAAAGCGGGAGGAGGCACGGGTGCCAAGGGCATCGCTGCAGGGAAGGTTTGGGGGGGTGCAGGGCTGTGCTTGTGGGGGACAATGCAGTGAGGCTGGGTGAGGGGTGCTGTGTTGGGGCTGAGCTTCTGCACTGACAGCAGGGCTGTGCCTCGTGTGCGTGACTGGGACCCGCAGCCTCGGGCCACGCAAAAGGTGAGTGTCTGCGTGCTCAGCGGTGCTGGGGGCAAGGGAGGGGGTAGGGACAGGGCCAGGGTGTGGTATCCCATGGGCCATGGCCAGGGCAGACCCTTGGAGTCACCCTGGTCAAGGTGGGAACCCTGTCAGGAGTGGGATTTGCACGTGGAGGGAAATGCTCTACCGGGGCTGTGCCTGGGAATGTCCCTGCATACCACGGCTGTGTCCAGGCATCAAAGAGGTGCCCAGGTACCAGAGTGACTTTAGGGGCAGAAGAACTGTGGAGTTTGGTGGTACTGGGGCACCCAGTGGGGCCTGGGTGGTCAGGTTGAGGGTCAGAGATGCAGGGACAGGAAGCCATCAGGTGTTCAGTGTCTGTTGTGCCAGGGCGGTGTGTCCCCATCACTGCTCCTCTCTGGAGGGGCTGGGACACAGCAGCAATCCATGTCAGGGGGCTGACATAGTGCTGGTGAGTTTGGGATAAGTGTGTGCTTAAGCATGTGTATGGTGCCCCTGGGGGAGCAGCAGAGGTTGAGGGAGGATGAAGGTTATGTGGTGGGTGGAGGCAGCAGCCCAGGACATCACGGTCTTGGTCAGGAGGGTGCTCTGGGGACCCATGAACATCTGGGGAGGGGTGCCAAAGTGCTGGAGGGGCCAAGGCAGAAGGCCAGCAGGGGCATCCAGGTGAGTGACAAGGGCTTGGAGAGGTCCCCTGGGGAGACCTGTCAGGGCATGAGCCCATCATGAGGAGAAGGAACATGAGCTGGAGTGATGGAGACAGTCCCAGCCTGCCCAGGACAGTCTGGGAAGGAGCATGATGCTGAGGACCCTGCAGCAGAGCAGCAGCCGGGTTTGGGGTGAGTGCTGCATCCCAGGGGCTTAGTTTAGTCTGGGCCGAGGAGGGCTGTGTGCCTGGGGAGGAGGGAGCAGGGAGGTGCAGAGCCAGGGCTCCCTCCAGGCTTGGGGCTGGAGCTGGGGAGGGGACAGGGCTGGAAGCATATGGTGATAGGATGGAGCTGGGGTGTGTGGGAATGGTCGTGCCGAGCACAGGGTGGGGGATGTGGGTCTCTAATCTGTCAGCAGGGCCACTGGGCACAGGCAGAATTGGGAATGATCGTGTGGTGGCATCTGCTGGCTTTGGACCAAGGTTTGTGTGTCATTGCAGTGGACAGGGGGACTGCTGGGCTCTTCAGCCATCGACTGGGAGTGAGGCAGGGGAGGCTGACCCTGCAGAGAGCCCCACAGCCAGAGGAGCTGGGGTACAGGGGTGGCCCGTAACTGAGGTCAGCTCTCCCCGGCAGCCTCTGCTCGTGTCGCTGCAGGGCTGCTCTCATCGCCTGGGGCGTTCTCTCCGTTCTCGGCGGTGCCTTCGTGTGCGGGCAGAGCGCTGCCCTGGCCGTGCTGGGGCTGCTGCGCTGAGGGACCACAGAGCCCGTCGTGACCCCCCCGACCCTCCCCGTCCTGCCCCGAACGCAGCCACGCCGCTGGATCCCATGGCGCTTTTATTTGGCATCGCCGTCCCCGTTGTACAGTGGCTAATAAAGACAGGAAGAGGGTATTGGCAAGGGTCCACACCACACACCCCGAGAGACCCCCACGCATGGCGGGGTGGGTGTGGGATTGGCACAGACAGACACACACACAGATGAAGTACAGACCCCAGGAAGGAGGGGAGGCAGCCACCCTCGCACCTACAAGGCACCAGCTGCAACTGTGCACATGCAAAGGAAACCCCTGGGGACCCGCGACAGCTGGAAAAGACTAAGGGGCACCTTGGGAGAAGGGAAATCCCTCCTCTGCCACCAGCCTGACTCCCCCCTCGGGCACAGGTCCCCATCCCTGCAGGTACAAACACACCAGGCACAGCCTCAACCCCCCAGTCTTCTCCCTGGGTGGCCCTGGGGACTTGCACAGACCCCCCAAGCTACTCCCTGCTCTCAGGAGGGGCTTGCTCCAGCCTCCCACCTCCCACTCCCATCCCTCCTTCCTAGTGCCTGCCTGCCTGTACCCATTGCCCCCCCTCCCTGCCTACCTATGTCTGGGGGGTGTCCCCCTCCCCAAACCCTGCCAGCCCCTCCCTGGCAGTCCTTCTTTCCCCCAAGACCACCCCAGACCAGGGAGAGATGCCCCAGGTGTTGGGGTAGCTGAGGGAGGACTCTGGGGTGGGGGACACACACATGGGAGTTTCCTTCACTGCAGCCAGGTCACACCGACACCTCTCCCAGGCACGGCCACCCCAGAGGGGACAGGTGCTGGCAGGCCCCGGCACGGACCGTCACTCTCGGCTCAGGGTGCACCAGGCAGCTGCAGGGGAACATCACTGCAGGGTCACACCTGCCCAGCCCCACATCGCCCTGAACCCCAGCCAGCCCAGCCCATGCCACCTGCCCACCCTTGTGCCCCAACAACTGGAGAGGTGCTGGCTGCCCAGGGCTCCCTGTCCCCCACCCTCTGGGGCGGCTGCCCTCCTACCTGGCACGGCCACGCTGGAGATGGCCTCAGGCTGGCTGAGCGTGTCCACCTTGACGTGCTGGAAGCTCTTGCAGGTGGCACTCTGCAGGTGCCTGCACCCAGGTAGGAGACAGTGGGTGACACCCAGCCCCCCCAGAAACACCGTTCCAGCCCCCCACAGCACCACGGGCTCTGGCGGGGCTGGGTGCCAGCAATCCTGCTCACTTCTCCTTGTGCAGAGCACCCTGCCTTGGTTCAGGACACTGACCCCTCTCATCACCACATCCAAAGGCACTCCCAGGTGGGAGGTGTAGAGAGACCCACCCCAACCCCCTTGTCCTGTTTACAGGGACAGACAGACAGACAACTCCTCAGTCCTGCCATCAGACAGGGGACAGAGCTTGGGGCTCAGGTGTTCTGAAAACCCTCCACATCCAAGCCTCCCAAAACAGGCTTTTTCATCCCCTCCCTTACCTCTTCCAGTCCTCCTCGGTCTCCCAGAACTCGTATACAATGAAGGTGACCCCATCAGGCAGCTTCACTGCGGTGACACTGGCAGAAACAGGGAGAGGGGGTGAGCCCCCAACATGGGGCATCCCCCCGCCTCTGCAGCCAGAGGTGTGCTCAAGGGTGGGCTACCAAGGGGGACCCCAGTCCCAGCAGCCCAGGTAGGGGTAGCCCCCCACACCATCCCAGCACTCCCCAGCCCATGCAGCAGTGTTGGTGAGCATGACTACATCCCAAATCCTGCTGCTTTGCCTCATTCCTTCACTTGGTCCCCACTCCAGCCCATGCCAAGCCCCCACCTCCCCAGCGGGCAGCTGCTGATGGTACCCACTGGAAGCAGTCCCGCTCCCCGGCCACGCTCTTCAGGTACTGCTTCAGGGAGCTGCAGAACTCGCCCAGGTGCTTGTGTGACACTGTCATCTCGTTCCTCACCAGGAGCAGGTACTGCCGGGCCCCCAAACACAGCATGTGAGACCACAGAAGCACAGTGACCCCCAAATGTGGCTCTGTGCTGCAGGGGTGGGGCACACTCACCGTGCAGGCCGTGCTCTCGCTGTCCGACAGCCGCTGGTGCAGGTCAAACCAGAGGGTCTGGGAAAAGGGCAATAGGCAGCACAGGGGGTGGTGGATGGGCTGAGGCTGCAAGGCTCTCTGTGCTTGGTGGGTTTCTGTGCCCAGCACTTGCAATGACTGTGCCCCCTTCTCTACAGGGAACCGACTCCAAGAACCTCTTGCACCTCCAGTCAGGACCCTTCACAAAATTCCCTGTGCTCCCATTGCAGCCAACATCCCAACACCACATCCTCATCCCTGCCCCAAAACAGCTGGGGCAACGTTGCTGAATTGTCCCTGGGATGGCAGGACAGCCCCACACAGGGACATGCTGGCCCTTACCTTGTCCTCCAGCTTGCCAATCAGCTTGGCCAGCCTGTTGATCTGCCCCTCCAGCCCCTCTGCCTTGGTGTCAGGGGAACCTGTGCAGAGCCAGGAGACATTGATGGAGTGAGGGGCACCTGCAAGCACCCCCTGAGAGCCCTGTGCTCCTGCTGGGACTTGAGTGCTCCAAGCCACCCCAGGCAGCCAGCACTTACCAGCCTGGAAGTTTTTTCCTTGCTCCCTGGAGACCATCCAGGTGGTGGGAGAGTAGCTGGGCACAGGGTTGTCATACCAGGTGTCACTCAGGCCGTGACCATCCTTGCTGGGGTAGTGTCTGCAACCAGAGAGCACACAGGGTGTCAGGACACAGAGTGGCATGAGCCAGCCTGGGGAGCCAGCACTGGAGCATCCCATCTGGCAGCTCTGCAAATAATGCCAGACCCCTTGGAGAGCAGCAGTGCCCACACTGTGCCCAGGCAGTGCAGGCTTCCTCCTGCACCACCCCTCAGCATCAGCCAGTGTGGGAGTGGGTCAGAAACAGAGGAATGTCAGTGGGTTGCTCCTAGCAGCCATCACTTCTCCACCTGCTTATGGAACAGCACAGCCCTCCTGGCACCACCAGCAGCCTTCAGGGACTTTTTCTGTCCTACTCAGACACCTGCAGTATGGGGCATTTGGGCCCCTGAAGCTGTGCTCAGCCATCTGCACCTTACTGGGGTTGGTTTTGCAGTCCAATGGCTTTGGTGGCTTTCAGAGAGGAAAAGCTGCTGCCACCCAGAGTGCCCCTGCCCGAATGGCTGCCCATGAGCAGAGGCTGTGTATCCCACTGACAGACTGCAGCTGCAGTTCTCCTGGAGAACAGAAACACATCCACTGTAGCACTGCCTCCAACATGCTTTCTTTGGGTCTACAAAGCCCATTTGGCTTGGAGGTTTCTCAAAGATCCAAAAAACTGTCCTGAAACACTTCTGCAGATGGAGCATCCATAATCACCATCCAGCACCACATCCTTGGTGATCCTCCCAGGACCCTGTTTATTTGCAAGCCAGAGAGAATGCTAAGATCTGCCATCTTCACAAGGGCTTGCAGCTGCCATCCATGTGAGTGAGATGGGAATGACCCTCTCCTTTCTTCTCCACCAACAGGAAGCCTGTGCCACAGAGGGAGAGGCTGAGCAGCTCAAAGGATTTCCAGTGTTTCCTTCCAGCAGGAGCAGCTCTGTGCCAGCTGACTGTTGACAGATGTGTCTGGGAGCCCTGGCTCCTCTCGGCATCTTTTGCTAGTCAAGCAGCTCCCAGCTGGATAAAACATGCTGAGTGCCCTGGAGCCAATGGGCACCACACCAGCCAGCATCTCCTGCCCTCCTGTCCCTCCCCTGGCACCTGGCTCCTCCTAAGCACAATCGCTGGGTTCTCTTTCCCCAACTACCTCGTAAATCAACCAGCACGGGCTCCACCATAAACATGATGTGCAGATCTGGTCCCAAAGAACATCTGCAAGATAAGGAAGCAGGAGCAACAATAAAGGGTCCAGGAGCATCCCTTTGCTACAGGCTGTGCAATTATACCACTGCTGGTCCCAGATTATCTCCTGTCAATAGACAGGAAATTAGGCAAAAACAGACAGAGATTTATTTTAATCACAATTTAATGAGGTGTCTCCATCTTGGACCTTTGCCTTCACACTTTGTTCTACAGCCCTTTATTTTCCTGCTTTTAGGCCACCTCTTTGTCTTCATGCGGATGCAGGAGATAATTTTTTGTGGGATTTGTTTTTCTTTTTAGCTATTATTTTAACAAGAAAACAACTGCAATACTCCCTATTATGATCTGGGCCCACACATCAACTAATAAAAGCCAGCAAAGTCTTTCATGGGCTCTAATTGCTCTGCCTGATGTTGGGTTTGTTTCCTCTTCATTGTTTTGCAGGAGCTCCTACTTCTTTTTGTGGAAGGTTTGCCACAAAACAAAGAGAAGAAAGGGATGTGAGATGATGAAACCCACAGCATTCCTGCTGGAAAAGCTGCTGGGATGGTGGCAGAGCTGCCCAGGCTCTGTGCTCCACAGAGAGGAGGGAGCTGGGATTTTCACTCTCCATGTGCCCCTCTGCCCACCCATGGCTTGGGGATGCCAAAACATCCCCATGCAAGCGTCCCAGGCCTCCTGGTTTGAAGGAAGGGCAGGAGAAGGGCCGGTCTGACAATCAGACGGGTTTCCATGGCAACCTGTCCTGGTTAGAGCTGTGACGGTGGCACTCTGGGGAGCTGTGTGACACTGACACCGCGGGGACTGTGCTGAGGCTGCTGCCAGCTCCTCATCGCTCAGCCAGGGCAGCATCGGGACACTGGAGTTGCTCTGCTCTGTATGGCCCAAGCTCGATGGCCCGTGCTGGGCTGCTGGTTTGGGGACTCACGGCGCTGCCTTTTCCCTCTGGAGCATTATTACACCCGCTGAGTGCCCTGGCAGAAGGGGCAGCATCCCTGGCACGGGGATCTGCCCCTGTGGGCCGCCCCAGCTCAGCTCAGGTGGGTGCCTGTGCTTTGCCCTGGGTGGGAGCATGGTTTGGTTTGCTCACCCAGCGCTGCCCTGGTTTGCATCCCCACCACAGCGCTCTCCTTAGCGGGGACCCTGGGCACTGCAGGAGAGGCAGGCACAGGGCAGGAAAGAGCGGCAGAGAAAAGCCCCCGGATTTGGGAAGGGAGGCAAAGAGAAAGGCCCAGCTCCCCTCTGCGTCTCCCTCACCCCACAAAAGCATCCTCCTCCACCCCTTCCATCCTCCTGCAGCGGGGAGGGCAGGAGTGCCGCAGACCTGGCGGGGTTGGTTTGCTCGTCGATGGCATCCACAGCAC